CCTACGTAACTCCCCCAGGGCCTTACCTCCCAACACTGCTCATCACTGGCTAAGTTTCACACTAGTCCTGGGACAGCAACCTGTGTGATCACCAGTCTATAGTTCCTCGTCTCGTCCTGCTGGTGCCAGTGCCATGCCCTCAGCAGCAGGACCTGGTACAGCATCTAGCTGTCCTGTTTCTTTAGGTCCGTTACAGTGAAACCTCTGAAAGATACACACCAGTTATTTAACACAGTGTCCTTGGATGTTGCTTTCTCCCATAGTCCTTCATGACTGAACTCAGGTCACAGAGCCTTGCGCAGAATGCTAAAGCTGCGCTGAGATGTCCCTGCTAGGGTCTGTGGAGATACAGGGTGTCTATCTGACCCCCACAAGTGATGTCAGTTTTGAAAGTCTGGCTACATGTTGTCATTTCTCCAGTAGCTACTAACTTCCCTGCAACTAATCAACCTTCTATTGAAACACATGGGGAGACCATGTAGGTAGACTTCTCATCAGTCCCTACCAATGACTAATGAGTGTCATTGGCAAGTCGCCTCCCAATCAATCTATGTTGTGGCCTTCTGCAAAGAGCTGATTCGCCTTCTCGGCATTTGTATCTATTGGCATGCATGGAAGAAAGATCCCATCCATTATTTTCTTATTATCAGTATGGACTCATAGATGGCTATTTTATTCAATGTTTATTTATCTTAGTTCTTTTTTGTTGTTTTGTTTTTGTTTTTTCTGAGACAGTCTCCTTGTGTTGTTCAGGCTGATCTTGAATTCACTAAGCAGCTAAGGGTGGCCTCGAACTCGTGATGATTCTCTTGCCTCACCTTCCTGAGTGTTGGAACTACCGTGCTAGGACTACCAAGCTCAGCTTTAGTATTTATTTTGAGGTATGTGTTGTCCTAGATTTAGCCTGAGTGAAGGATGTTTCACTTTGACTCCTGTGCCTAATGTTTTACGCATGCGCTCTCATTTTCTCTCTCCCTGCCCGTCCTTACCATCCATTTTAACAAGATGTTCCAGGCTCATAGAGTACCAACTAGGCCCCTGTTGTGCAGTCCTTTATTTCTCCAAGGAAATGTTCTTACAGTGGAGAATATGGAGTAATATCTGGAAACTAGGCTCTAAATTCAAGGCCTGTTTGGTGCTGCAGGTGCCTTGCTAAGCTGTTTTAGCGGCCAGGTCTAGGAAATAGTAGCACGTGTGTATATATATTTGTATTGCACACATAGTGAACATGGTGGGGGGGTGAGAGGTGCCTCACAATTTTCTCTAGCTCCATATCTAACCTTGGAAATCTGTCTTGCATTCCTGGTTCTGTATCTTCCACATGGAGATCTGACCTCTTCTAAGTAATACATGTCTGATTTGCTCCATCACACATGATACATAAAATAGTTTGTTCTATCCATGACAATGCATCAAAAGCATAAAGAAAAGTTTTATTTTCTAAACTGAGAATATATAGAACCCAGAGCATTGTTGCTGAGCTGCACTCCTAGTTTATTATTTTTAGCATTTTATATTTTTCAGTAGGTTCTCACTCAGTTGCTGAAGTGCCCAGACTGGGATTATACTTGTGCTCCTTCTCCTCAGACTCCTAGAGTGCTGGAATACTCCCACCATGTCTGTTAGAAGTATTTTGTTTAACTGTTACAAATATTAGTTCTTTTATCCCACTTGTGTTATTCATTTGCAACTTTTTTTGGGGGGTACCAGGGATTGAACTCATGACCTTGCGCTTGCTAGGAAAGCACTTATTCCACTGAGCTATCTCCCTAGCCCCACTTGCAACATATTTGGATTCAGATATTTATGTTTGAGTTCCATTTTATTCCCTTCATCAATGTTGCTTTTATTTTGTTTTTTGAATGCGTAAAATGTTCCATATTTGCCTTAAACCAAGACACATGGCAAAGGCAGAGAAATTACTCCTTGTTCTATCCCTCCTGCCTTTCCCTTCCACCTTTACTGGTTTATTGCTTTCTGGTTTATCATTAGTGTGTGTTTGGCTAAAACAAAAAGATATATTTATGTTTTCTTATTTTCCTTAGCATCTAAAAGTAGCATATTATATATGCTGTATGACACTTTGCTTTTTTTTCATTTACAACATATCCAGGAAATCACTCCGTATCTGTTCACAGAAGTCTGCCTTACTCTTTTTTATAGTCTTGGTAACAGTCTGTTCATCAAGCTTTTGATTTTTTGCCAATGTGTTGTGGTGATAAATGGTATTTTTGTAGTTTTAATCTGAAACAGAGTGAATTCTATGTTTCTTCATATGCTATGGACTCTTTTTAGATTTCTACTGTGAATTGTCTGTTTATGGTTTTGCCCATTTTATGGGATTTAAATTTTTTTTCCTTTAGTGTTTAAGTTCTTGTATATCAGGGATATTACTCCCTTTATCCATGAGTATGGAAATTTCTTCCAATTTATCATTTATATGTTATTTTTATTGTGATAAAATGCATAAAACAAAAACTTAGCATTTTAATCATTTCTAAGTATACATTTCTGTGTCATTAAGCACATTCATATTGTTCTACAGCCATGACTACTGTCTACCTCCAGAATTCCGTCACCTTCCCATTTTGACATTCTGCTTCCACTAAACACAAATTATTCACCCTCCCTTCTCTCTAAGAACTGCCTTTTCTTCTGCGTCTATGATTTTGACTGCTTTAGGAACATCACGTAAGTGAAATCACAGTGTTTCCCCCTTTGTGTCTGGCTTTACTTAATATCAGTTTTCCAGTTTCATCCATATTGTAACATCTGTTGAAATTTCCTTCATTAGGGCGAGTAATATTCCACTGTATGAATACGCTACATTTTATTTATTCATCATCTGTTGTGGGAAATGCTACTGTGAAGATGGGAGCACAAATGCCTGTTTGATTTCCTGTCTTCAGTTCTTTCAGATACACACCCAGTAGTGTACTTGCTGGACCACACAGTAATTCTACTCCTGGTTTTATGGAGAGCTGCAAGATCTTGGTTTTATGGAGAGCTGTAATATCTTTCAGCCATTTAATATATGAAATGCTCCTCATTCTGCTGGTGTCCTCTGCTGTCTCTTGGTTGGAAGAAGCGCTTTCTTTGAGATTCCTCAGGGTAGGCCTATGTGTATGGCCTCTGAATCTTTGCACTCAGACCACATATTTTTGCCTATAGCCTTGATGCCTATAGGCTTGATACCAAATCCTTGGCTGATACTTTGAGTTCCTTGAGAATATTGCAACATCGTGGTCCTGCTTTCTACATTGCTCTTAAGAAATCTGATATTTAGGTATGGTGGTGCAGCACTTGGAAGGCTAAGGTAAGAGGGCTGCTATGAGTTCAAGTCCAACCTGAACTACCGTAGGAAGACTGCCTGAAAAACAAAAACAAAAAGGCTATTGCTATCCTAAATATTTTTCTTGCAGTGGTACTAGGGAATGAGCTCAAGGCCTTCACATTGAACTATATTCCCAGCCCTCTTTATTTTGAGTCAGGGTCTCTTAAGTCACTAAGTAGCTCAGCCTGGGCTTGAAATTGCAATCATCCTGTTCATTGGAACAAATTTTCCCTCAGATGTCTCGTAATTATTCTTTGTATCTGGGGGGTACTTTTTGTCTTTCAATTGCTTTCTTGAATTTGATCAACACTCATTGCACTGCTTTCTAACTTTTGTCTGGCTTTGTTCTGAGTTTTCAAACTCCTGTATACATACTTGTGTGCCCAAACTTCTGGCACTTTGTTCAGTTTGATATGTGGCATACAATTTTCTTCTGTTTCTTTTTTTTTCCCCCTAGGGGGAGAGGGGATCATCGGTTGAAATGTTATGACTTCTGTTTTCATTGTCAAGAATTTGATTGGTTTCCTGTTTCCTTGTTGCAGAAGGCTTTTTTAAAAAAAAGACTTAGGTTTTTTTTTTTTTTTTTGTTCTAGAGCACATTTGGGGCAGGTTTCTAAGAGTCTTCTGTATGATGTACAGCTTTTAACAGGCAACGCTACGGGCTGCGGGGGGACTGGCTGTCTTATCTTCCCTGCTCACATCCTTTTTTCTCTTCACCAGCAGGCCTCTAAGGGACAATTATGTTTTCAAAAAAATCTGACTTTTGCCAAGAAGCAAGGAATTTTCAAGACTGTCACCTCTTGTCTCATTTTTACCCCCAAATCTCTTCCTTTGATCAATAGTTTCAAACTCGTATCCCATATTTAGTGGTTGGTCCTTGCAGCACGCCCGTGCTTCTCCTAAGTCCTTGCTAGTCTTTCCTTCCTTCTTAATTTGAAGCTGAGTCCATGGGTTCTCACTTGTGGTGACCCCAAAGCCTGCTCCTGAGCTTGTTTGGCTCGGAATGTGGGTAGATTCCCATCTTGGCGGCAGCCATCGCCCTCCTGACTCAGGAGCTCCTGGCACACTTGTAACACTTCTTTTTTTCCTCAAAGACACAGGAAACTTCGCAGTTAGCAAGGGCATCGCCAAGGTTACCTTGATGCAGATAACGGAGAGCTATTTTTTGTCTTTTTGAGAGATGCTTACGTGTGCCGATTCCACTCTTTTTCACATAAATAACCAAAGAAAAAGTAAAGGTTTAAAAATATATTTTGCTTCTCTTGCCCTCATTTCATGTTTTGCTAGTAAGAGCTCTGTTTATTCCCAAAAGCACGTTCCTTCGAAAATTACGTTCGCAGTTTCTACCTCAAGGTTCTCTCTGCTTAAATAAATGAAACTGACACCTGGGGACCAGGGGGTTCTGCCGCAAGCCGAACACGGAACACCCTCCGGAGCTCCCGCCCGCTCAACCCAGCGGGCAGCCACCCGCCACTCACGAGCCTGGCAGCGCGCAGGGGGCGGGGCGCCGCCGCCATGGAGACGCGGTCCCGCCCCGCGCAGGCCCCGCCCCCCGCGCCG